GAATAGATATGTGGACTCAGAGGTTTGCGGTGTGAAGAGGTCACCAGGACAAACGTCTGAGAACCGCTGCCCGAGGCCCAGTCCTGCTGGAGGGTTGGACCCCAGTCCCAGCGCAGAGCCCATCAGCCAACGGGGCTCCCCTGGCCAGTCCCACGGGACCCCCAGCCCCTCCGCGGGGGAGCAGCTCCGACTCCAGCTCCAGAACGCCCAGGGAAGGAAAGCGGAAGAGGGCAGGGTGGGGTGTGCGGCACTCAGAGCTAAGTTAATCGGTCAGTCCTTGTACAGCCCAACCTAGCCACCCTGACGCCCCCCTCTGTGCCTCCGTTCTACTACACCCCCCTCTGTCCATCCATCCCCCGATGCCCCCCTCTGTCCCTCCATCCTCCTATACCCCCCTCTGACCATCCATCCCCCGACACTCCCCTCTGTCTGTCCATCCCCTTACACCCCCCTCTGTCCATCCATCCCCCGACGCTCCTCTCTGTCCATCCGTCCCCCTACGTGCCTGTCTGTCCCCCTACTCCCCCCTCTGTCCACACATCCCCCATGCACTGGACTGTCTGTCTGTCCCCCTGTGCCCTCCTCTGTCCGTCTGTCCCTCTACATGTCTGTCCATCCTTCCCCCTACACACCTGGCTGTCCGCCTATCCCCCTATGCACCCCTCTGTCCGTCCATCCACCCCCTTGCACACTTCTCTGTCTGATTCCGATGTGCAGGGGCTGGACCCTGCTCTCCTCTGCCCACGGGCTGTTGGCTCGTCTCGCTTTCTCGTGCTGGTTCGTGCAGCTTTCGCGAGGGGGGGGCTCCTTGCCGTGCCAGTGCAGACGGAAGCACAATTTGGAACCTGTGACAGTTTTCATGAACCGGAATCGGCCAGCCCCAGCGCCCGGCCCTGAGTGACCCTGGCACCCTGGGGCGTGTGCCTTGGGCCCCACCTCCCATCTGGCTGTGGCCAGGAGCTCTGTCCCTCAGGCGAAGATTCCTGGAGTTTCCGGGTGGACGGCGCCCCACCCCCCATAAGATTTTATGGAAATACGCTTATGAATATATCTGACATAACTGGAATATGTTCTGTGCTACATATGCCATGTCACATATCTCTGTAAAGGTGATGATCTGCCGCAGTGGTCCCCAACCTTTTCCGTGCCGTGGGCGCCGGACAGGGCCGACTCCAGGCACCAGCGCAGCGAGCAGGGGCTTGGGGCGGCCAACGGAAAGGGGCGGCACGTCCGGCTCTTCGGGGGCAATTCGGCAGAAGAACGAAGTGGCGCGGTGGAGCTGCCACCGAAGTGCCGCCGATCGCCGCTTCCCCTCCCCCCAGCTGCTTGGGGTGGCAGAAACACCGGAGCCGGCCCTGGTGCCGGATGGAGGACTGTGGCCGCCGGAGAAGCAGCCGCTGAAATGCTGCCGAGAAGCGGCAACGTCGAGAAGCGTCGCCGCCGAAAATCGCTTCTTGCCGTTGCCAATTTTCGGTGGCATTTCGGCGGCTGCTTGTCCGGCGGCCAGTAGGCGGGTGCACATAGATGCTCCAGTGGGTGCCATGGCACCCGCGGGCACCACGTTGGGGACCCCTGATCTACTGAATCTATTAATCCTATTTGTATGCATGTGTCTTTTTTATATTCAAAGTTATGAATATTGGCCGTGTACTGGCTTGATTTCTAAATAACCTTCGGGCTTGGCTACATTGGCACTTTACAGCGCTGCAACTTTCTCGCTCAGGGGTGTGAACCCCCCCCCCCCGAGCGCAGCAAGTTCCAGCGCTGTAACACGCCAGTGGAAACCGTGCCCCAGCGCTCCCAGCGCTGTAAGCTAATCCCCTCGGGGAGGTGGAGTACCTGCGACCACACTCGCACTTCCAAGCGCTGCCGCGGGAGCGCTTTGAAGTTTCGAGTGTAGCCAGGACCTGGTCAGTTCCTGGAGAAAGGAATTCACAAAGTTAAGTGCCCAATCAAGAAGCACTTAAGGAACAATGCATCTTGGAATGCCCCAATCCAGATAAGAAGTCTTCCTGCAGACATTCAAGATACCATGTGGGCAATAGCTTTTGCCTGTAAAAACTGTGAGTCATGCCTGGACATGTGACTTGCCCAGGTGACTCCAGAACTCCATCTTGGAGCTGGACTTTGCATAGGAGAGAGGAGGGGGTCTCCACCCACAAGAGAAAGTTTATTTAAGCCCGTGGGAGACCCCTCCATTTTGTCTTCAGCTGGCTAAAGAGAGAGCCTCTCCACCCCCAAGGATACCTGAAAGAAACTGGAACAAAGGACAGTAACTACAGGGGGTGTGATTGATTGCTGGACCCAGACTAGAAGGAGACAAGTCTGTAAAAGGAAGCTTACTGGAACTGGTGAGGTGTTATTTGTATTCAGTTTCTTAGACATAGACTTGCGTGTTCTATTTTATTTTACTTGGTAATTCACTTTGTTCTGTCTGTTACTACTTGGAACCACTTAAATCCAACTTTCTGTATTTAATAAAATCACTTTTTACTTATTAGTTAACCCAGGAGTATGTATTAATATGGGGGGGAGGCTGACATATCTGTTATAGAGGGCGAACAATTGATGAGTTTCCCCTGTATAAGCTTTATACAGGGTAAAGTGGATTTATTTGCGTTTAGACCCCATTGGGAGTTGGGCATCTGAGTGTTAAAGGCAGGAACACGTCTGTAAGCTGTTTTCAGACAAACCTGCAGCTGTTAGGGGACGTGGTTCAGACCTGGGTCTGGGTTTGCAGCAGGCTAGCGGGTCAGGCTCGAACCAAGCAGGGCACTGGAGCCCTGAGCTGCCAGGGCAGGAAAGCAGGGGCAGACGTAGTCTTGGCACATCAGGTGGCAGCTCCCAGGGGGTTTCTGTGATTCAACCCGTCACAGCGGCTTCCTGATGTTTGCAGACAACGTGGCTGCATCGCTCGTCCCCCCAGAGCCTCAGCAAGGATGCGCCCCCTTCCCTGAGCAGCCGGCCTCAGCCCTGGGCCTCTAATCTGCAAGGGGAAGGGCTGAGCTCTGCCTTGGCTGCCTCCGCTGGGTTGTGACTTCCCAGACTTCTGAACAATGAAGGGGCAAGGGAGGAAATTCACTGACCGGATCAGCTGGGAAGGGAGCCAAGGGGTATATGCTGTCAGCCCTGCTCAGTGCCAGGGCCCTCTACAGACACAGAGCGAGACGAGACAGCCCCTGCCCCAAAGAGCTCCCAGGCTAAACAGCCCATGGGTGGGCGGGGATGCGCCTTGTCTGAGGTCCCCCAGGACTAGGATTCACCCACTAGGCCACGCTGCCTCCCGTGTCAGCCCTGGCTCTGGCACCAGTATGGAACAAGCCAAGGTCCCTCCAGTGTCCCCCGGTGGGTGCCGCCCTCTGCCCACAGCTGTCCTGGCGGAAGGGTAGGTTCTCCTGGAGCTGGTGGCAGGGTTCTTGTGATGCCAGCTCTCCCCAGTGCCCCTTCCGGGCATCCGCCAGCCTTTCTCCCCCACAAAGGGTGAGCGGGTGACATACCGACTCGATGCCCCGGGACATTCCTCACCACGCGCCCTGGCGAGGGGGGGAGTGATGGGGAAGCAGCCGCCCGTGCTTGGCCAGCTAGCGAAGGGTGGCCGGAGCCACTGTCGTGGGAAATTTACCTGAACCAACACCACTGCCCGGAGCCGCTGGATCCCTGCAGCTCCTCACCGGGCGTTAGATTCCCAGCGCCCAGGACCTGCCCTTTGAGGCTGTGCTAGGAGCCGAGCGAGCTCCCAGGGCCCTGCTGAGCGTGTGCGCAGCGGCTCCGAACCAGGCCAGACGTGGGGGGGAGTTTCACAGCCACAGCACAAGGCCCGTGCCGAGGACGTGGGCTTCCCCATTGAACAGCTGCAAGAAGGTTTTTTAGCACAGCGCAAGCGATGTATTCTGCCTAGTCTCCCTCTCAAACACTTCTTTCACCACAAAGCCCAGCCCGGAGCAGACCTGGCCCGGGAATTTCAGCCTGAAAGGTTAAAGTCTGGCAAAGGTAGATGCATGGGAAACCGGGGAGCGCCTGGCAACATTCCCTAGCAGCACCGCAACCTGCCCCCTGTCCAGTCTCTGCGCATCTCCCGTCTGAGCGGCCGTCGCTTGGCACCACGCAGCTGCCTGCCTGAGCTCTGCCGTCTGCTCTATGGGGAAGCGTCTTCCGCAGAATTCAAGCTGCCTCCCTCTTCTGGGGCGTCTTCTGCGCTGGCCTGCGCCATCTCGAAATCCGTTCGGCTTGGCGTTGCTTCCCCGGGCTCTGGCCTTGCCGCTCTCCGGGTCCTGCCGCGCCGAGCCAGCCCCCAGGCCAGAATACCCAGCAGCATGGCCGGTACGGTGGCGATGGCAGAAATTGCGATGATTTTAGCCGTGGGGCTCTCTGGAAAAGGAGACAGAAAGGGGTTAAATTCCCTCCCCACAAAACACCCCTGAATTTCCCCAGCGGGGTCGGTAAACGAAGTTGGTAAAGAAATAAAATGAAACTACGGCCCGGTCGGGGCCGAGACCATCCGGGATCAAACCCCAAGAATTCGGGAGGAATCTCACTTCCGCTGGGCTGCCGGGGACGCTCCTGGGCCATGCGAAGGGAACGTGGCGTTTGTCCAACGCTTAGCGCCCAGCCTGCCTCGCACCAGTGGATTTAGGGCTGGATTGAAAAGATATTTCGGTGCCTACAGATGCAGACAGGCACCTAGTAGCTGCAAAGTGCCCAACCTTCCTGGGTGCCTAGCGCCCAGAGAACCAATGGGAGTTAGGAGCCTACCTGGTCTGGTAATTTTCAAAATCCCACTAGGCACCTGGCTGGATCTTTAGGTGCCCAAATCCCTTTACAAACCTGTCCCTCCTTTCAACAGGGCCCCCGATCTCGGCCGGGGCTGTTCGGTGTTTCCACAAGCAGGTGTGAGACACTCCAGAGAGGCGGCTGGGCCTCGGGCACGGTCAGGCAATACCCAGTCTCGGAGACGGAACGTTTTTCCATTCGCGATTTGTTTTAAACGTACATTTTACCAAACTAACCCTGAATTTTTCCACACCTTTCCTGTGAAAAGCACCTGGCTTTGTGCAACCAGCTGCAGCCGACCCGTAAACCTCTGTACGTGCTGCACCCACTGGCCGGGGGCCCCGCCGCAGGGCGTTAGCGTGGGTCACGCAGCTTTCTCCCGGGGGCCACCAGCCTGGCCCTGGCTTTAGAGCGGGATTCCCTGCCTGGCTCCCTCCATCCGTTCTGCGGTTGGGGGGAGAGGAGCACTTGACGCACGTCCCGATAAATGTGTGACTTGAGCTGCCAGCACCGGCCCGGCGTGAACCTGAACTCACCGGCCTCCTGGAGCTCCACCGCAGAGGAGTTGCTTTGCAAGAGTGGCCCGTGTGGTGCCAGGTCCAGGGCGGCGTGGCAGGTGGCCTGCTGCCCGTGGTCCCATCGCCGAGGGGTGATCTCCTGGGTCACTGTGACGTCGTGGAGTCCGGTCCTGTTGCGGCTCTGGAAGGTCTCCGTGTGCAGGGTCTGTCCCCCCTGGCGGAGGGTCACGGTGAGGTGTGTGACGGGAGCCACCTTCAGAACCCGGCACGTCAGGTTATAGGCCCGGCCCAGCTCCATCTCGGGGAGCGGCTCCAGCACCACCCGCTCCGGCACCTCTGGAATGACAGACATGGAGCCACGGGCAGCCTGAGGGCAGGAATCCAACACGGGGACCGTCCCAGCCCCGTCCCCAGGGGAACAAGAGCCCAGCTCCCAGCCCCCTCGCCGTGGGAGGCCCTGGGATCCGAGGGGGAGCTGGTGCTGCGAGTGCCTGGCACGCCTCGTGCCCGCGGGCAGAGTGGCAGGGGGCTTTCACTGCAGCACCTCGGCCGTCAGCGGCCTCACCCCCGGCCAGGCACCGCCCGCCCGGGCCCCTTCCGCAGAGAGCAGCAACCTCCAAAGTGTAGAAGCCTCCAGGCCTGGCCGGGAGCCCCGGGCTGCTCCCCCCTTCGCCCTCCGCAGGCCCTGCCCCCCATGCCCCTCGGCCTTGGGGCTGTGTCTCCTCCTGCCTGGGCTGCATTTCAAACTGCCCCCGGCTCTCCCCTCTGAGCAGCTCCTATCTCGCTTCTCCAGACAGGAGCCGCCCAGCTCCCTGTGGGGCTGCCATCCGCTGCGCCCCCACGGCACGGCCCAGAGCCATGCAGCCGGCCCAGCGCATGGCGAGGGGCAGCCCAGGCCCGGAGGGTGCAGCCTGCACCTGCCTTGTGCGAAGGAGGACGCAGCTGAAATCCATCTGCCAAATGCTGCCTGTCCCTGGGCCGTTGCAGAACCTCCCGCCCACGCCCCCGGGGCTGGCTGACAACTCCCACATTGGACCTGAGCTGGGGAGGGCCTGGCAGGGGCGATTCACCTACCTCTGGGGGTGGCCTCTCCCGTAAGAGACCCCAGGACTCCCCACAGAGCAGGGGATGCGCCCCAGGAAAGCCGCCCCCAGGCCCTGCCTAGGAGCCTCGTTCTGTGAGTCACGTACGATAAACCGACATGTTCACGGCCGCTGTTTGCCGCTCTCCACGGCAGGGGAAGTAGCACTGAGGAGCCGACGCTGAAGGTCGGTTAATTGGATCCCGTAGACCCGGGTGCTGCTGAAAGGCGCCGCTGGGGGAAGAGCCTGGTAGGTGCATCCCCGCGCCCCAGGCCGGCTGAGCCCTGCCGCGGAGGGGACCCTGCTGGCGGCGAGAGCCAGGCTCAGTCTGGCTGACCGGCCGGCAGGGGCTCGAAGTGGGGCAGGGGGTTGGGATGTGGATTCCTGCCCTGCCAGGAGCCGGACTGAGCCCACCAACTCCTCCCACCCAACGGCTGCCAGGGGGTAACTCCACGCAGGTGCTGCCTGGCTTAATGGAGCGGAGCCAGTGTCCCCAGAGGGGAAAGGCCCGTGTCCCATTCTCTGCCCCCTGAGCCAGCCAGTCCCCTGCCCTAGGGCCAGAGCACAGCTTTGCAACCTAGTTTCTGCCAGCGACTTTTCCCTTTCTCTAGCTCTACCCTGCACCAGAAAGTGTCAGTGGCACAAAAGCCCCCCCCAGACCCACTGCAGCTGGGAGCCAGCGGCACTTACGGTAAACGGAGATGTTTGCAGCCGCCACCAGCGTCGTATTTCCACCGCAGGTGAAGTAGCACTGAGGGGACGACACCCACTCCGTGATATTGACGAGGCGAAAGGCTACCCAGCTGGATCCATTTTTCCTATTGGTTTTGATGAGCGAGGTCTCAATGTCGCCCCTGGCACCAGGATCCCGGCACGTGTGGCTGCAGTTTATCCAGACGGACCCTCCGTGCCCCACCACGGCAGCTTCCAGCGAAACGCTCACCTCAAATGAGCCCTGCGCGGCCCCTGAAACAGCAAACGGATCTATCACACTGAGGCTGCACCTCTGGGGGTACAGCCCAGTGGAACTGAGAAAGCAGAACATCAAACCCCACCCCCTTCCCAGAGCCAGGGAGAGAACCCAGGAGTCCTGGCTCCCACCCCCCCCCAATCTGCTCTAACCATTAGGCCCCACTCCCCTCCTGGTGATTCTATAAGAAGGCGCCTTCATTAACAATGAGTAAAACAAATCGATGTCACCACCTCACTGCCGGGCCAGTGGGGAGCTCCCAGCCCAGCCCGGTCCCACTAGCATTCCCCTGGGGACACGCAGTCTGAGCGGGGGGTGCGTGAGCGGCACTTACCCGGCAGCACCAGGAGAAGCAGCAGCCACGCCAGGGGGCCCCTGGGAGAGGGATGCTGGAGCCGCTGGGGTCTCATGGCTGAGGAGAGAGGCACAGAGAGAGCAGGAGTCGGGGGAGCTGGGCTTGGGTTTTCCGTCGGTCCCGTGGGGCCTGGTTCAAGCCCACTGCCGTCAATGGGAGTCTTGCCGGGGCGCCCGCCTAGGCTCTGGGCTCTGGGGACTGAGTCGCTGTCACTGGAGAGGCAGGGATGGTGCCCAGGCACTGCCAGGGCGGCTCAGCCCAGGGCCCATCTAGCCCGGTATCTGGTCTGCAACGGAGCCCAGCCCCAGCTGTGAGACCGACGGCCGGAGGACGTGATGGGAACCCTGTGGGGACAGTTCCCTCCTGATCCCTGCTAATTAGCGATCAGCTCAGCCCCCCTGCCCCCCCACTCTACCCACTAGCCCCCACTCCCTTCCCAGAGCCAGGGAGAGAACCCAGGAGTCCTGGCTCCCACCCCCCTGCTCTGACCCACTAAGCCTCCACTCCCTCCCAGAGCTGGGATAGAACCTAGGAGTCCTGGCTCCCAGCCCCCCCTGCTCTAACCACCAGCCCCCACTCCCCTCCCAGAGCCAGGGAGAGAACCCAGGAGTCCTGGCTCCCAGCCCCCCCTGCTCTAACCACCAGCCCCCACTCCCCTCCCAGAGCTGGGGAGAGAACCCAGGAGTCCTGGCTCCCAGCCCCCCCTGCTCTAACCACCAGCCCCCCCTCCCCTCCCAGAGCCAGGGAGAGAACCCAGGAGTCCTGGCTCCCAGCTCCCCACGCTCTAACCACCAGCCCCCACTCCCCTCCCAGAGCCAGGGAGAGAACCCAGGAGTCCTGGCTCCCAGCCCCCCCTGCTCTAACCACCAGCCCCCACTCCCCTCCCAGAGCTGGGGAGAGAACCCAGGACCTTACCCCCAGCGATGGTGGTGCTGGCTGGAATGGAGGAATGAGGGCGCAGCCCGGGAGGAGGGTGTGCGGAGCGTCTGCTGGGTGAGATAAGGAGACGTTGTGACGAAGTGGGAATGTTCATAATGTTTTCTCTGAATACTGTGTGGGTGCCTCAGTTTCTCCTATGCATTTCTTAAGTCTCTAGGTGGTGGGATAAGGGGGTGTGATTGTTGCAGAGTGGAGGGCCGGTGTGCCTAGGTGGCCAACACTCTGTCTCCTGGCAACTAATGGCCGGGGCCCCTCCCCTGCAAGGTGATAGCTAAAGGTGTTGGAGAACAAAGGAATCAGGTGACCTCCTGACCTGGGAAAGAGACAAAGCCCAGAGGAGGAGGGGCTGGAGGGGAAGTCAGTTTGGAGCTAACTGGGGACAAGGAGTGAAGTGCAGACGTGGGTGTCTGGCTCACTGCCCCCCAAAATGGACCCGGCTGAGGGGTCCTGTTCTCTGGACCTACAAGCTCTGTTTTAGACCGTGTTCCTGTCATCTAATAAAGCTCTGTTTTACTGGCTGGCTGAGAGTCACGTCTGACTGCGAAGTGGGGGTGCAGAACCCTCTGGCTGCCCCAGGACCCCCCCTGGGCGGACTCGCTGTGGGAAGCGCACGGAGGGGCAGATGCTGAATGCTCCAAGGTCAGACCCAGGAGGTGAAGCCATGTGAGCGTCTTGCCCTGAAGACAGTCTGCTCCGAGGGAGAGGAGGCTCCCCAGAGTCCTGCCTGGCTTTGCGGGGAGCAGTTCCAGCGCATCGCCTGGGGACTCCGTGACAGACGTGTCAGGGAGCCCTCAGCCGGCTGACTGCCCTGGGCGCGGAGCTACCTCGCCGTCCCTCGCGACATGACATCTCACCAGACCCATCCTGTGCCTTATTCAAATCATAACCATATCGCGATGAAGAATATGGGCTGTAACGTCACAGACGGTCCCCCCTCTGCAGCGCCAGGAGCCAGCGTGCTCCGAGAACCAGCCTTTTACAGAGCCGCTTGGAGCAAAGGCTGGTGGCCCAGAACCTGGGGGCCCAGCTGGCCGTGAAGGCCGGAGCCCCCCACAGCAGGGGCCAGGCTGGGAGCTGCTCCAAGGCCCTGGGTAACTTGTCTTAGAAGAAGTGGACTGTAGTCCACGAAAGCTTATGCTCTAATAAATTTGTTAGTCTCTAAGGTGCCACAAGTACTCCTGTTCTTCTTTTTGTCTTAGAAAAGGGCTTTTATCCGCGCTGGAGGGGTAGAGCCCGCGAGGAGGGGAGGGGGGGTTAGTCTCTGTCACCGGCCTGTGTGGCTCCCCCTCGCTGGCTTGGCGCTGGCTCTGGCTCGGCGAGTAACTAACGTTCGGGTTGGTTTTACCCCGGGCAGGGCTCTGGGGCACACACTGGGGGGCCGGAGTGAGCTGGTAACGGGGGGCTGGTTTCACGCGTCGGGGGGACGACACAGAGGGCGACGGTCTGAGTGTCTGGTCGGTCAGAACTCGGGGGGGAGTTGGGGAGACTCGGTCTGGGGAGCACCCCTGGTGTGCCCCCCGCCCCCAGGCATTGGCCCTGGCTGGGGCTCAGAGCAGCCGGTTGGTGGAAGCCCCCAGGGCACTGCCCCGGGATGTTTGCTGCAGCCAGAGGTGCCCGTGCCGTGTGGGCAGACGTCCCCGTGCGGGCTTTCACCGAGCCGCGTGAGCGCCCGTCACTGTCACGCTGCAGCCCCGTGGGCTAGAGCCGCCCCTGGAATTACCCAGGTCCCGACGGGCACGGCCCTGCTGCCACGGCTTCCCCGCTGGGGCGCCCGCGAGAGCTGCAGCAAAGCTGGCTCGGGTACGGCTCCGTGTCATGCGGGCGCACCCCGGGCAGGGCAGCCAGAGGCGGGCGCGAGGGACGGCGAGGTAGCTCCGCGCCCAGGGCAGTCAGCCGGGCTGAGGCTCCCTGGGACGTCCCCTTATCTCACCCAGCAGCCGCTCCGCACACCCTCCTCCCGGGCTGCGCCCTCATTCCGCCATTCCAGCCAGCACCACCGTCGTTGGGGGTAAGGTCCTGGGTTCTCTCCCCGGCTCTGGGAGGAGAGTGGGGGCTGGTGGTTAGAGTGGGAGGCTGGGAGCCAGGACTCCTGGGTTCTCTCCCCGGCTCTGGGAGGAGAGTGGGGTCTAGTGGTTAGAGCAGGGGGGGCTGGGAGCCAGGACTCCTGTGTTTTCTCCCCGGCTCTGGGAGGGGAGTGGGAGCTAGTGGTTTGAGCGCAGGGCTGGGAGCCAGGACTCCTGTGTTTTCTCCCCGGCTCTGGGAGGGGAGTGGGAGCTAGTGGTTTGAGCGCAGGGCTGGGAGCCAGGACTCCTGGGTTCTCTCCCCGGCTCAGAGAAGGGAGTGGGGTGTGTATGGGGATGGGGGTGTAGGAGGGTGGGTGGAGGGATGTGTACGGGGAGGGAGGGAGAGGGGACGGAGCAGTCAGAGTGGGGCTAGGGAGGGAATTTCCCCCCAGGGCAGCGTGTCGGGAACCCTGGGGGCTTTTCTACCTTCCTCTGCAGCGTGGGGCCTGGATCACCCCAGCACAGGGCCCCTGATCAGTTCCCTGCATGGCAGATCTCCAGGGCTGGTCGCTCCTGTTCTCTGCCCCGGGCCTGACCTGCTGGGCTCAGCACAGGGGTGACATGCTGTCACGGACTCACAGATCGTGCCCACTCTTGGCCCCGTGCGGTCCGTGGGGGGTGCCCCTTTCAGTACGACAGCCCTTCTCTGGGGTCCACTCTCTCTCGGGGTCAGGCCCCTCCACCTCCTGGAGCCGCACCTCTCTGAGCCTTAGCACGTCTGTCTCTGCCATGGGCCCCCGCAGGGAGTCCCCTCGCTCTGGGCCCCCCGGGCCTCCACCCCCGAAGGGGTTGACGCCACCCTGTTCTCTAGCCCAGAGTGACCCTCAGCCAGCATAAAACAGGAGGGTTCATTGAGAGTTGAACACAGCACAGGAAACTCTCAGGGCCTCAGGCCTGGCCTCCCTCAGCCCAGCACATCCCAGTCTCCCCTACATCCAGGTGGGCTCTGCCTGCCCCCCCTCTCCAGCCCCGAGCCCCCCTGCTCCCAGCTGGGCATCTGAGATCACCGGCCCCATGCCCCTCCTCTGTCCATTGTCTTCTCTCCAGGTAAACAGGGTCGTAAACCGGGGCCTCCTCTCCTCGCTTCTGTCCTCTGGCTGGAACCGGCTGGTCAGGTCACGGGTCCTCACTCTGCAGCCCATTGTCCTCCCACTGGCCAGAACCGGCTGCAACTCCTGAGCTGGGTCTCTGCGTTGTCAGGTCCCCAGTCACTGGCTGGGTCCCCAAGTCCTCTCTCCGGTCCTCTGTAACAACAAACTTCCTCTCCCCTCACCTCGTTAAACCAGTAACACCCAGGGAAACTGAGTCCCACCCCCTCCGCATGCAAACCATTGAAACCCCACAGAAAACAAGAAAACCCCCCACTTCGTCACACGTGCTGAAAGGCTGGACAGTCCCAGGGCCTCAGCCCCCTGTCAAGGAGTCCCCAGGCGATGCTCTGGAACTGCTCCCCACAAAGCCAGTCAGGACTCTGGGGAGCCTCCTCTCCCTCGGAGCAGACTGTCTTCAGGGCAAGAAGCTCACACGGCTTCACCTCCTGGGTCTGACCTTGGAGCATTCAGCATATGCCCCTCCGTGCGCTTCCCACAGCGTGTCCGCCCCGGCGGGGTCCTGGGGAAGCCAGAGGGTCCTGCACCCCCCACTTCGCAGTCAGACGTGACTCTCAGCCAGCCAGTAAAACAGAGGTTTATTAGATGACAGGAACACGGTCTAACACAGAGCTTGTAGGTACAGCGAACGGGACCCCTCGGCCGGGTCCATTCTGGGGCCCAGCGAGCCAGACACCCCCGTCTGCCCTCACTCCCCGTTCTCAGCCAGCTCCAAACTGAAACCCCCTCCAGCCCCTCCTCCTCTGGGCTTAGTCTCTTTCCCAGGTCAGGAGGTCACCTGATCGCTTTGTTCTCCAACACCTTTAGCATCCCCGTGCAGGGGGGAAGGGCCCCGGCCATTAGGTGCCAGGCGACAGAAACTGAGGCACCCACCCAGTATTCAGAGGAAACATTAAGAACGGTCCCACTTCATCACACCCCCTCCCTTGGGGGGGGGATTCCCCAGAGCCAGCCCCCAGCGAGGCACCCCGAGAACAGCCGGCTTGGCCAGAGAGCTCCTTGGTGCCCCCCCAACGCGCCGGGCTCTGCTGGCAATCCCGGCCCCGAGACACGCTCTGCAAATGACACCGGCCCTTTAACTCTGACGCCTCCGGGGCCAGCTGCTCCCCAGCCCCCCGCGGGGTCGGAAAAGTCCCGAAGGGGAATTTGCCACCGTTTGCCTGTAACATACGAACAGTTCCCTTCGCCCCCTGCCCGAGTCTCTCCCTTACACTCTCTTCACAGAGACTGGGGGCTTTCGCTTCCAGTTATTAACGTCACTGACCTCCCCGCCCCCGTACCGGGCCGTGGAGCGCAGACCCTGGTCCCTGCCACGCCGCGCCCAGCTCAGCCCCACAGGCGGTGGAGACCTGGTATCCCTGAGTCCGCTCCATGGCTGGGGATACGGTGAAGGGGGGACATAGGGTCTTGCGATTCAGCTGATCCGAGTAACGGACCCCTGTCACGGAGTATTGGGGGACTCAGGGCCCTGCACCCCCGGCTTCCTGCGATTCACCATGACTCTCAGCCAGCCAGTAAAGCAGAAGGTTTATTTGAATGACAGGAATACAGTCCAAGACAGGTCTTGCAGGCACAGACAACAGGGCCCTCCTCAGTTAGGTCCAGCTTGGGGTCCCAGGGCATTCCAGCCCACCCCCCTTTGGGGGGTCAGAGCAATCTCTGCCTCCCAGCCATCTCTCCAGCCTGCTTCCAGCCCACTGCCTTCAGCGACCCCTCCCACAGCCTTTGTTCAGTTTCCCGGGCCAAGGTGTCACCTGGCCTCCAACCCCTTCCTGGGCTCCCATGTTACACACTCAGGTATTCGCCTTCGGGCAGACTCCCATCCCCCAATGCAGACTATCCCAGCCACACTCCCCTGTCAGCATTCACACACCACAGTAAGAACAGGCCCAGTTCGTACTGGGGGCTTTCGCCTCCAGTTATTAACGTCATTGACCTCCCCGCCCATACCGGGCCGTGGAGCTCAGACCCTGGTCCCTGTCACGCCGCGCCCAGCTCAGCCCCACAGGCGGGGGAGACCTGGTATCCCTGAGTCCGCTCCATGGCTGGGGATACGGTGGAGGGGGGACATAGGGTCTTGCGATTCAGCTGATCCGAGTAACGGACCCCACAGCCCGTCTCCGTTGCACAGACCCGGCGATCCCAAAGCCCGTCTGGTTAGTGTCGAACCGTTTTCACAGTGATCCCGTGGGTCCATCGCACGTGCCCCGGGCGGCCGCCTCCCCAGCTGGGGCAGAGCTGCTGTGCGGCTCGGAGGCGCCTTCCCCATCACTCGGAGAAGTGGTTAGAGGCGGCCGTTAATGCCGTTCCCCTCCCGGCACAACTGTTCCGACTTTAGTGTTACAGGCGTTTCCTGCTGGGCCTGGGGTCTCCCAGCCACCTGCTTCCCCAGCGGGGCAGAGCTCAGCTGCAGCCAGACGTCCCTCCGGCCAAGGACACGGGAGATTCCAGCCCTGGACGTCCTGGGGGTGTCTGCCCCTCTCCGGAGGCCTCCCTCCCTCTGATCCTTGCTCTCCTGAGAGCAGCTGGTGTGCGCATGGGAGGGCCCCGGGCTGCCAGCGCAGAGGCTATGAACCCCCAGGCTCTTGGCATTGCCCAGCATCCCGAGGGTTAACGGGGGCTCCCCGGGGGCGAAGGGGTAAAGCAGCAGCGAGGAGCCCCAGGGCTCCGGGTCCTGCACTCCAGGCCTAGACGCTGTGCTCCAGTTCAGGTGTGTTCTGTGTGGCCCCGTTCAGGCTCATCTGTTCGGACGGCTTGCCCTGCTCGGCCTGCTTGGCCTGCTGCTGTCTGAGCCGGTAGTTTCGGATTCTCGTGGAGCGGTAGTACATGTAGCCCCCCACGCCTAGTCCGGTCAGAGCAGCCAACGCACCTACGAGCCCCAGTGCCAAACCCAGGATGTTGAGATCTGTTAAAGAAGGAGCGAGGTTGAGAAGGGCTAAGAGCTGGTTCAGCCTCGTGGGTAGGGCAGGGGGCAGTGGGCTGGGACTCAGGACACCTGGGTTCTACTCCCATCAGCCACTGGCCTTGGGCAAGTACCTCACCTGCTCAGTGCCTCAGTTTCCCCTTCCACTCTGCCTGGTTAGATGGTGAGCTCTCTGGGCAGGGACTGTCTCTCACGCTGGGTCTGGGCAGCGCCCGGCGCGACGGGGCCCTGATCTCGGCCGGGGTCTGGGCAGCGCCCGGCGCGACGGGGCCCTGATCTCGGCCGGGGTTTGGGCAGCACCCGGTGCGACGGGGCCCTGATCTCGGCCGGGGTCTGGGCAGTGCCCGGCCCGACAGGGCCCTGATCTCGGTTGGTGTTCTGTCATATTACACATAATTAGTAGGAGGACGAGTTGGGACAGAGATGAACCTGAAAACCGCCAGGCTGCAGGACGCTGGACCCATCCCCGCTCGCTCCGGGGTGGGAGTGATGCCTGGACGCACCCCCTGAGCCTGGGGGCGGGGGCTGTGCCATGGCCAAGCCTGCGGAGCACAAGCCACACCGATGGAACAGCCAGATGGGATCACTGGGCCTGCCAGTCTGCCCTCCAGCAGGACGCCAGGCCAGAGAATGGCAGCCCGGATCCCTGTACTGAGCCCCCGCGGCTTTGTGGGGTGTTTGGGCTCCTAAATCCCGTGGAAAGTCAATGGGATTTTACCAAAGAGACCCATTAACCTGTGCTCCTAAATCCCTTTGGCATTTTTGCATGCCACCCTCCTGGTCACCTGCTGGAGGATCCACCAAAGGCCACTTACACTCCACCTGGACGGTCACATCCCGGCTGGCCGAGCCGTGCGCGTTGGATGCTTTGCAGTGGTAGGTCCCGGCGTCCTCTCTCCTGACCTGCCGCTGCACCCCGATGCTGACGGGCACCCCGTCCTTCGTGCACACCACGGCTGGCGCTGGGTTCCCCCGGGCCAGGCAGGAGAAGGTTTGCTCCGTCTCCTCCTTCCAGATCCACTCCCTGGGGCAGCCGGAGTCGTCCATCCTGGGCCCGTCTGGAAGCGAGAGGGGGCGGTTGGTTACGCTGCCCAGGGCCATGTAGCCCCATCTCCTGCCCGCCCCCGGGGCTGCTGCCAAGGCCAGCGGCTCTCCCCTGCCACAGGAGCCTCCTCGCTGGGCTCCCCCCACTGCCCTGCCTGGCGCCAGCAGGCCTTGCCCTGGGGCAGCACAGGGGGCCTGGACAATGTGCTCTTGTTGCCAAGAAGGCTAACGGCATTTTGGGCTGTATAAGTAGGAGCATTGCCAGCAGATCGAGGGACGTGATCGTTCCCCTTTATTCAACATTGGTGAGGCCTCATCTGGAGTATTGTGTCCAGTTTTGGGCCCCACACTACAGAAAGGATGTGAACAAATTGTAGACTCCAGCGGAGGGCAACAAATATGATTAGGGGTCTGGAGCACATGACTTATGAGGAGAGGCTGAGGGAACTGGGATTGTTTAGTCTGCAGAAAAGAAGAATGAGGGGGGATTTGATAGCAGCCTTCAACTACCTGAAGGGGGGTTCCAAAGAGGATGGATCTAGACTGTTCTCAATGGTACCAGATGACAGAACAAGGAGTAATGGTCTCAAGTTGCAGTGGGAGAGGTCTAGGTTGGATATTAGGAAACACTATTTCACTAGGAGGGTGGTGAAGCACTGGAATGGGCTCCCTAGGGAGGTGGTGGAATCTCTTTCCTTAGAGGTTTTTAAGGCCCGGCTTGACAAAGCCCTGGCTGGGATGATTTAGCTGGGAATTGGTCTTGCTTTGAGCAGGGGGTTGGACTAGATACCTCCTGAGGTCCCTGCCAACCCTGATAGTCTATGAGTCTATGACCCAGTGCATTTCTCTGGCCGCTGCTGCACAGGAATGGCTGCCCCGGGACACAGGCACAAGAGAGTCGCTGTCCCAGCCGAGTGCGTCGGAAGAAAAGCTTGTGGGACTGGAGCAGGAGGATGGGCCGGGAGCCTGGGGTTCGAGTCCTTGGCTGAAGCACTGAGGCTCTGGGGGGCTCAGCTGCCATCTGTGAAAAGGGGGCATTGCTTCCTGACTGCCGGGGGGTGAGCGCAGAGCGTGCCCGGTGGAGCCAGGGCCACAGCAGCACCTAAGACGGAGCCGCGGCCCCTCTACTCACAGAGGACAGTGAGTCTGGCAGACGTGCGTTTCATGGCGGGGATGCCGGAGACAGGCGTTGCTTCACACGTGAACTCCCTCCCGTTGTCTTCCTCGCCAGCCGTCAGCTGGAGCTGCACAAGGGGCTGGGCGGGGGGGCTGGAGACCAGGACTCGCTCGGCGTCTCTGAGCTGGAGCAGGACGCCCGGGGGGTCGGCCTCAGGAGAACGGCACGTAACGGTCACGCTGCTGTTAACGAGGGTCCGGGACTCGGTTACCTCCAGGACGGGCTCAGGGAGACCTGCAAAGGACCGGGACAGAGCTGCTGTTTGGCCCGGGCTGCCGATCCCCGTCCGAGGGGGAGCACGCTGGCTCCCCGGCAGGACGCTTCGCTCGAGACCGGGCGGTGAGATGGTCGAAGCCAGCTCGGGGCTGGACACACCTGGCCCGTTCAAGTTAACACCCAGACCCCGAAGGGAGTTAGGCCCAGATCCCATGGGAGTTAGGCACCTAAGTGCCTTTGAGTACCTGGGCCCAAATTTCTCCTGCAGGTTGAAATCCCCATGGCTCCCCCCGCCTCTCCCCTCCAGCTCTGGCTGGTGAGGGCTCCGTTCTCCGGCAGCGCCCGCTCCTCATGCCCTGCATCAAGGTACGAACCTGCCTCTCCCTAGCGGGGCAGGCCGGGCCAGGGGCAGACTGACCCCAGTCTCCGCATGCGGGGGCGGCTCGGTGGCCTTGCCCACTCCCTTCCAGCCCAGCGCGGCTCTGACTCTCTGGAGCCGCTGGGAGGAATTCCCTGGCCTGGGCTACGCAGCCGCTCGGCCGCGATGACAGACTGGTTTGTTGGGAGCACCCCGGCTCAGTGGAGCGCCTGTGTGGGAGGGGAGCCAGGTCAGAGCCCCACAGAGGGGTGTCGGGGGACGAGTCCCAGGCCAGGCTAGGATTGGGCGTGGGAGCAGGGAGGGGATCTGGTGCCGGGGGGGACCCGTGGGAAATCGGGCCGGGGGGGCTGAGTTCTGCTCTGGGCTTGGGGCGAGTTTCAGCCTGAAAACTCAGATGTAAAGTCCACGGGGAGGAACCGACGTGAACTGAAAGCAGCCCCCGCGGGAGCTGAACCCACAGAGATCTGCCCAGCCTCCGCACCAGCCCGGCCCACAGTGCCGACGTCCCCCGCCGAGCCCCTGAGCCCCCGAAATCCAGGCAGGCCGGGAGCCCCCCAGACACTCACGGTAAACGAGAACGCTCTGCCCTGCGGATCTGGACACGGGCCCCACAGTCACAGTGCAGTTCAGCTGGTGCTGTCCCGGGGACGGGGACCAAACCTCGCCCTGGGCGGTGGCCGTGTTGTCCAACGTGGTGACAGTGAAGTTCAGGCTCTCTCCCCCAAAGGACAGGTTGAACCGGGCCTCTCCCGCGACGGGGAAGACCCCGGCCACCCCACAGCGGGCGAGCGGCCTGGCGCCCACCTCGATATAGCGGGAGGTTTGGAGCCATGGCTCCTCTGGGAGATCTGCAGCGGGCGAGAAAAACCACCGCGGGGCATGAGGGAAACATCAGCAAAGGGAGCCCCTTGGGACCCAGTGAGGAAATCCAGAGACACGGCGACAACGGGGGCTGAGATGCAGTTTGCTCCCGATCTAACTACCAACCTGTTTATCCAGCCCCGTGCTGTCCCACCCCAGTCCTCTAGCCCCATCTCGGGTCTCTCTATCTCCCCACTGTCCCCTGCAGCTGTCTGTCCATCCCCTGCCCAGACTGCACCCCGCTATCTTCCTATCCAGCCCCAAACCGCACACACACACTTCTCCCTCCATCCCCATACCCCGCCCCCAGCTGATGGACCCATCACTGCCCTTCCTGGCCCCGTTCCACACCCTGCTCTCACCAAAGCCCCGTAGCAGCCCCGAGAGCGCTCTGCCCTCCTCTGCTCCCGCCAGGCCAGGCCCCAAAGAGGACAAGGTACCTGGAGGGGAAGGTTGAAAAAGGGGAAGAAACCGTCACCCCGAAGGGGAAGCAGGAGCCTGACGCCGCATGAACTCCATGCTGTGGGGGTGAGACAACCCACCCCCAGGGACCCTCCCTCTTCCGGGTGGGCGGGGGGCCCCACCCTGGGCTCAGACAGTACCCTTGGCCCCCTGTGATGTTATGAGTGTGATATAATATCTCATTGAAAGGTGACAGGGCCAGAAAGAGTTAATTACCTCCCAGACTGACCTGACCCATGGCCGAACTTTAGAGACTGGTTAGGAAGATCTGTAAATGAATAGGGCTGTGAAATGCAAGTCTGCATTGTTAGAGGTAGAAGGGGAGGTGTTTGCTCAGAGTTTGTGATGTCAGCAAACAAGTCTTGTCTATTGCTATAGTTTTAAATTCAAAGATCAAAAAAGGAATATTAACATTTAGGAAGATGCTTGAGTGAAATAGTATAATTGTTTCTATGTCTCTTTGAAGGTTGTGGTAACCTGGATCTGAACTGTTTAATGGATAAATTACCCTGTGCTAATTGTCAGGATGTTTGGGAGAAGGAGAGTTAAGCCTATTGTTTTCTCAGACCAAAAGGCTGCTGGAAATGTATAAAAACCCCTGGGACACGATCCTGCTGCATCTCAGATCTGCTTTGGGTTTCAAGAGGGGGAAACCTTAAGCCACAAGGATTGAGATCCCCAGTCACTGACTGGAGCCACCCTGAATATGGACATTGGACTATAACCTATGGACTATTTCTAAAAGGACTTTTGGCAACTACAAACTCGTCTCTGCTGTGTCTGAACCTCAAGAATTGAATTCAAGTCTGTCTGTATATTGATCTTTTAACCAACTCTCTCTCTCTCTCTTTTCTTTTTTAATAAATTTTAGTTTAGTTAATAAGAATTGGCTCTAAGTGTGTATTTTGGGTAAGCTCTAAGTTATCATTGGACCTGGGTGTGTGGCTGACCCTTTGGGGTTGGAAGAACCTTTTCTTTTATACGATGAGATACGATTCTCAGGAATCATCATCGTATCTGACAGGTGTGTCTGGACGGAGGCCTGAGGCCGGGCACTTTGAGGGAACTGCGTTGGTTGGACTCTGAGTGACCAGGGAGGTAACACAGAGGCTGTTTTGTGCTGGTTGGTAAATCTAAGCATTGGAAGATCCACCAGCGTTTGGGGTTTGTCTGCCCCGTTCTGTTTGCAGTTCACCCTGATTGAGTGACCTCAGCTGGCTCCCATGGGCAGCGCCGTTACACCCCCACCCCCAGCACTTTGGCCATGTGACTACCCGTCCCCCCTCTATGTAGGGCATGGGAGATGGGTGGCATCCCTTTAAATCGCTGTGACCCCTCCACGGGCGCTCACCGTGTTCTGCGTGTCGGAAGCCAGCCCCCGCTGGGCCTGGTGGGGCTGGGGGGGGACTCGCAAACAGGGGGCTGGGACCTCACGCAGTAGGTGTGTAAAGAGCAGGAGAGGCATCAGTCTGCGTTAGGGGAGCTCCCAAAGGGGTCGCCCGGGACATCTCGGCCACCTGGGAGAACAGATCTCAGCCCCCAACCTGGGACCGGCATCGACGGGCCCAGGACAGCAGGGAATCCATCCTGGCCAGGGAGCATTTGGTGCCCGTTTGTGGGGGGGTGAATGTCAGCAGGGGTGCAGGGAGCTGGGCCGTCAGGCAAAGCCCCTGTGTCCCCTGAACTGCCAGCCCCCGGAGCGGTGTGTCTGGCACACAAAACGTGTCTCTGGTGCCCAGAGCTGTGTCTCCGGTGCACGGAACCGTGTCTCTCGTGCACGGAGCGGTGTGTCTGGCACATGGAGCAGTGTCTCTGGTACACGGAGAAACGGTGTGTCTGGCACATGGAGCATGTGGGAACTCACCATAAACCTTGAGTTCCACCGCAGAGGAGCTGTTTTCGAAGTGGGACCCGTGCAGGTCCAGGGCGGTGTGGCAGGTGATCTCCTGCCCGTGGTCCGATCGCTGAGGGGTGATCTCATGGGTCACTGTGATGTCATCGAGTCCGGTCCCGGTGTGGTTCTGGAAGGTCTCCGTGTGCAGGGTCTCTCCTCCCCGCCGGAGGGTCACGGTGAGGTGTGTGACGGGAGCCACGTTCAGAACCCGGCACGTCACGTTATAGGCCTGGCCCAGCTCCATCTCGGGGAGTGGCTCCAGCACCACCTGCTCCGGCGCCCCTGGAGCCAGAGGGGGAAGCACCCGAAGGTCGGTTAATTGGATCCTGTAGACCCGGGTGCTGCTGAAAGGTGACGCTGGGGGAAGAGTCTGGCAGGTGCATCCCCGCGCCCCAGGCCGGCTGAGCCCTGCCCCGGAGGGGACCCTGCTGGCGGCGAGAGCCAGGCTCAGTCTCGCTGACTGGCCGGCAGGGGCTCGAAGTGGGGCAGGGGGTTGGGATGTGGATTCCTGCCCTGCCAGGAGCCGGACTGAGCCCCACCAGAGGGGAAAGGCCCGTGTCCCATTCTCTGCCCCCTGAGCCAGCCAGTCCCCTGCCCTAAGGCCAGAGCACAGCTTTGTACCCTAGTTTCTGCCAGCGACTTTTCCCTTTCTCTAGCTCTACCCTGCACCAGAAAGTGTCAGTGGCACAAAAGCCCCCCCAGACCCACTGCAGCTGGGAGCCAGCGGCACTTACGATAAGCGAAGATGTTTGCAGCTGCCACCGTCGTATTTCCACCGCAGATGAAGTAGCACTGAGGGGATGACGCCCACTCCGTGATATTGGTTAGGAGAAAGGCCACCCACCCGGGTCCACTTTCACTATCGGTTTTGATGAGCGAGGTCTCCACACCGCCCCTGGCACCAGGATCCTGGCACGTGTGGCTGCAGTTTATCCTGATGGACCCTCCGTGCCCCACCACGGCATCTTCCAGCGAAACGCTCACCTCAAACGAGCCCTGCGCGGCCCCTGAAACAGCAAACGGATCTATCACACTGTGGCTGCACCTCTGGGGGATACAGCCCAGTGGAACTGAGAAAGCAGAACATGAAACCCACTCCCTTCCCAGAGCCAGGGAGAGAACCCAGGAGTCCTGGCTCCCACCCCCGAATCTGCTCTAACCACTAGGTCCCACTCCCCTCCTGGTGATTCTATAAGAAGGCGCCTTCATTAACAATGAGTAAAACAAATCGATGTCACCACCTCACTGCCGGGCCAGTGGGGAGCTCCCAGCCCAGCCCGGTCCCACTAGCATTCCCCTGAGGACACGCAGTCTGAGCGGGGGGCGGGTGGGGGGCACTTACCCGGCAGCACCAGGAGAAGCAGCAGCCATGCCAGGGGGCCCCTGGAAGAGGGATGCTGGAGCCGCTGGGGTCCCATGGCTGAGGAGAGAGGGACAGAGAGAGCAGGAGTCGGGGGAGCTGGGCTTGGGTTTTCCATCGGTCCTGTGGGGCCTGGTCCAAGCCCACTGACGTCAATGGGAGTCTTGCCAGGGGCGTCCGCCTAGGCCCTGGGCTCTGGGGACTCAGTCGCTGTCACTGGAAATGCGGAGATGGTGCCAGGGCGGCTCAGCCCAGGGCCCATCTAGCCCGGTATCTGGTCTGCAACGGAGCCCAGGAGTCCTGGCTCCCAGCCCTGCGCTCAGACCACTAGCCCCCACTCCCCTCCCAGAGCCGGGAGAGAACCCAGGAGTCCTGGCTCCCAGCCCTGCGCTCAGACCACTAGCCCCCACTCCCCTCCCAGAGCCGGGAGAGAACCCAGGAGTCC